CCCCAAAACCCCAAAACCCCAAAACCCCAAAACCCCAAAACCCCGCATTGAAGTTATAAGTTAAATAAAATGTAATAATCAATTAAATAAAATGAGCAAAAGAGGTGTACAATCAATGACTTAGATGAGAGGTTCACAGTCTGTTAAGAATCTTCACGCATCTCAATCTCCAATGTCTCGAACAGCAAGCCAGCCCTATTTCATGTATTCTAGTTTGAAAAAAGACACTCCTTCTTTCCTTGTAAAGGCACAGGAAATACCTCCAGTATAAAGAACCATTGACTTTGACAGACTGTTGATGAGGCCAAGTCACAAACCAAATCGTCTTAAGTTTGACAAAACTAAATCTGACTGTCTCCTAGAGTAGGAAAATGATCCATTGACTATGTAGGTTTCGAATCAAATTGTCTTTAACTTATTATAGGGAGGATCATTTTAAACTGTTTGATATGCCCTGGATTTAGAAGTTAAGATTTGTAGACCCTCAAGAACAGCTTCAGTTGACTTAAAATAAAAAAGCACCAGAGACTACAATCCCAGATAGAGCTCCTCATTTCTTTGATTAGGATATGCAAAAGTGGCATTAAAAGTTTGAAAAGGCTATTAATGAGAGAACTTAGAGGAAAAAGTTGATGCAGACGACGCACGAGTTCAATATGACTACCAAGAACTCAAATTTCTAAAAATCTGCGTATAGCCTCCCTAAGAGAAGAATGAGCAGATAAAGCAACGAGGCTTTTCTAAATGTAGACTTTGAATGCTTAGGAAACACTAATGATGTAATATTCGATAATATAATCAATGTTACTTCTAGTATAATCATTTGATCCAAAAAAGAGTTGGAGGAGTGCACCCTAATCCAGTTCAGTTAGATTTTGAAATGAATCTTAGGAACTACAAGAGTCAGTCTTAATTCAAGGGAAATGAGCCTTGGATCTATCCAAAGACCAAGAAGATGAAGGCAGTAGTAACTGATAAGAGCATATTCCCCCAAATCCCAAGACTCTTCAAGAAGAAAACTGACTTAAAGGGGGAAGGTGAAGAAAACGGAGCATTGTCGAGTGGTGATTAAAGAGATACACTAGAAATCTTAGACTAGAAAAAAGCCAAAATTCAACCATATAACGATGTCTTTAGAGAGTCAAACATGGGCAAAATCAGACATCTATTTCAAAAATCTAATATCATTCAGTCAATGCAGTGGCAAGCCAATCTCAGACACTGGCATCCAGACAGACTAGATCCTAAGAAAGATGAAGCTAATACTAATTAGCTTCTAAGTCCTAAGAAAAAATGAGATTAAATAATCTAACTATTATTATATCGGTAATTTTAATTACAACGATTCTAAAACTTTATAGCTAAAAAAGTTAGAACTTACCTTAAGGGGTTTTGGGGTTTTGGGGTTTTGGGGTTTTGGGG